AAGGTGCCAAGGGTTGGGAACCTGCACTGCTGCCTGTATTCCAGGCGAGTGCGGCCTGCAACAGTAAGTCAAAAGCACAACTTGCTGTGCGAGCGGTTTTGTAGCCCCTCGTTGGGCACAGGACCGGCAGAGGGCTACTGTCTACAGGTGTCTTACCCATCTCGAAAACATCATCGAATACCTTGTTGGGATCGTACTCCAGTCCTGGGATTGATCAGTACCCATGAGAGTCAGATTCTCGACTTCCCAGCTTGTGAGGTTCAAACAAGTTTTTGTCTCTTTTTTGCCGGGCGCCTGTTTGGCCCACGAGCGCTTGACACCAGCGCAGGTCCAGGTCGCCGTCACGGCGGAAGGAGAAGGAGGTCCGCGAGACCTCGGAGGAGAGGGAGGAGCGGAGGAGCTGGGGAGCCCAGGTGCTTGGGGTTGCTGGTGCTCAGTAGGGAATGACTCAAGGTTTTGGGAGTGAACCTGGGGAGTTCCTGCAAGGAAAACAATAGGGGATGGTCTATAGGGGTCGTTCCCTCATTCCCTGCTGAGAACCAGCAAGACCCGTACAGTATGGAGATAACTTGAGGTAACCCGTGAAAGCCGCGTTTGCAAGTCCTCATCTGGGGAGTAAGCATGGTTACTAACCGCTTCAGCATGCCCCCAGGCTTTTGCGGGCCGCCCCGCGGTTCCAAGTGTGCCATGGCAAAGAGAGAGCTCATTTTCCTGGGCTTTCTGGAACAAACGTCTGCGGTTTTCGTTGGATCGGAACGGGGCCCATTGCATCTAGAAGCCCGAGCAAGGGCGAGAGTCGTGATGCGTTCTCGAAACGTCATCACATCATCACATCATCCTTGCCGAGCTTTATTCGCGGTGGTTCCCGTTGAAGGAGCTGGTTTATTTTGCGGGTTGGATTCCATTGACAAGTCGGGCTTTGATTAATCCGAAGTAGGGCAGAGTCGAGGCGTTAGTTTTTGTTGTGCGAAGCGAACTGCGCTCGGCTTCCGGGGCTGGGCACGTCTCGGTGAAACAATCCTAGTAGTTGTTATTGTCGTTGTCGTGCCGTCCCACGGATTTCGGATCCGATTGAATTAGGGCAGAGAGAGGTGGAGCGGTTAAGTCGTACTGTGGATGGACGAAGTCCTGCACCACCTAAGAAACCCTGGAATGATGATTCCCCGTAAATACCCACACAACTTTCTGGTTTCAAAGTGGTGCAAGATTTCGTCCATCCACAGTATCGGCATTGTTCAATGTTTGCATGAGCACCACTACGGAGAACAGCCGGGCCCTCTGAACCTCGAGGCGGTTCCGCTTTCAAGAGCTCCCTTGAAAACTATGGATCGGTCCAATTGGGTTCAGACCTGCGCACATGCACACTCTTTATGCTTGGATTTCTGTATGCTTAGATTTAGCCGCACACCAGCGAAGATCAACCATGACTCAGCTCAAGCCCCGGAGGGTCGCTTGGCGCGTTTAGGTCGGGAGAAGAAGGAGGCGGAGGCGAAAGCCCTGAAGGCGCAGAAGGACGCGGAGGCAGGGCGTGGGGGTGGTGCTTGGGGCTGGTTTCAGCGGGTTTTCTTTTTTGGGATACGGCTGGGCCGGGCGGAAAAGGAGAGTGGGCCGGGAGAGAAGAGTCGTTCTGGAGTCCGGTAGATTTCGAGGATTGCCTTAAAGGATGCATGTGGGCGAGTCGGAAAACCGGCCTTGTTTCTTGGATACATGTGCCGCAGGTGGAAAAGTATGGATGGGCAAAATCCTGGTGGTAGGTAGTTCATCCCAGTATTCGTAAAGTTTCATCCATGCCAACTGGCGTGCTGTTCTGCGCAGCCAGAACTTGGAATTGGAGGCCTTACGAAGGGCCCCATGGGTCAGCCGAGCCGAGCGTATTTGGGTCAGGGTGCAGGGCTCCTCTTTGGCAGGGACCAGCATGCTCAGCCAGGAAAAGAAAAAGCGGGCAGCTGAGGAGGCGGAAAATCGCGGGGAGACTTAGTACACCGCGTGGTGTCGCGTCGGGACATCGACAATTATTGGGCTATTTGGCAATCCGGATGGATTAGTTCCAATTGTTGCTTCCAGTATTCTTGATAATATTTGGTTTGTTTCCTTAAAACATAGGTTTTGGACAGTTTTGCTTCATGCTAGAGAGAAGTTCAGCGTCAAAGATCATGGGCGGTGTTGGGAAGCATGTTTCCGTTGCTGGCACGCCGAGACGTCCATGTTTGGCCAATCTGGCCGGGCTTTTGTGACAGAGAAGGTAAGGGGCTGGCGATTCAAGCTTCATTTGGGAAGAGCTCATTGGTCAATCAACAAAGGGTTTTTGAGCCGTTGGCTCTCCAGTTTTTGATCCGCTTTGGCACGAAAAGGCTTCTCGACCGTGCACGGAGGCAAGCGCTGGGCCGAGCAGGAGGCGAAGTGGGTAGGGGCCCAAGAGACCAGCGCTTGCGAGGACCTGACGTTTTGGGGTGGCAGTTGAATGTGTCTGTCAGAACTGGCAGTGTCGGGAGGCTTTGGAAGCACCAGGCGCTTTGCTTTCTTTGCCCATTCTGCATTCTGCATTCGGCTTTGGCTGGGCGAAGCCAATGAGAAGCCTCGTTGGAGCCGGGCTTGAACGCAAGAGTGGAGCAAATTCGGGGGCAGGGAGCCCTTCTGCGATTCTGTAAGCCGGGTTCTGCAGTTGACACAGTTGCCTTAGGGCTTTTTAAACGCCGTTTAAAGGGGGAGGTTGTTCAAACATTGGCTTGAGCAGAACAGAGATGGTTTCACTGGCCTGGCGGAATGGCCTGGCGCAATGAACACCAAGGATTTGCAACCTCCTGGTTGGTTTTTGATGCGGGGTGCAGCCTTGTTCCGTGGGGGAGCGCTTTCACCATCGGGTCACCAGGGTGCAAGCAGATGGCGCCATGCCCTTCAGCGGTTGGACAGATGCCCAAAACCACCCATTTCTATCTTGGAATTTTGCGAACCTGTTTGGAAAAAGGTGAAAATCGACCCCCCCCCCCCCGCCTCCCCACCCGAAATTTTCTGTGAAACCGGGCTGACCAACACCCAGTGGGGTCGGACTTCCTTCCGCCCTCGGATTTGTTGTCGCCGCTTTGGGGCCTGCGAATTTTGAGGCGGAGGAGCGGCGGCTCCGAGAGGAGCAGAAGAAGCTGGAGGAGGAGCGGAAGGCGGGTCCAGTGTCTGGGCTTGCGAAAGATTGGGTTGCGCCCAAAAGGGAAGATTTGGGGTGGTCCCCCGAAAAAGACACTGCCATGTGTCGTAGATTGGGGTCTCATTTTGGTTGCTTCTTGAAACTGTGCCAATTGGAGTGCTACAGACCTGTAATCCTGAGTGGGTGGGAGGGAATCTCACGAACGCTTGGAACAGGAAATCATTTGTGCGACCAGTCCCGCCCTATGAGCGTTGATCACTGGCATTGCTTACTGGCGTTCTCGGGAGGCCCGCCTTCAGGGGTTGAGGAATGCCAGCGGTTTGTTTGGTTTCTGTTTCGCCCTCAGCGTTGGGACAGGTCGCTCGCCAGCAGAAGCTGAAAGGAGCTCGGGCGCTCGGGAGAGCACCGGGCGAGAAACTGGTGGCCATATAAGGGAGGACTTTCCAAGGGGACTCCCCATATGGTTTGGGAAGGTCTAAGGAAGCTAGGTTCCAGGCTTGGTGGGGGGAGGGCGGGGTTTTTGTCAATGACTGGCCGCCGTTTGCCCCTCTAATCAAATCTCCAGGGCAGACAGCAAGAATTTGGCTTGGTGAGGGTATCCCGTCTGGTTGGTTTCAAAGGAAAGCCCAAAGGAAACCAATTTGGGTGTGTCCAACTTCAGGGTCCGCTTTTTGCGTGGTTTTGAAGGGAGGGCAACAGGAAAGCCACCATTCTGGAGGTAGACACACCCATTCTCAGGGTCCGATTCCCATTTTGAGACGCAACCCTGCGATGCCACCTATTGGCGTCAGCCAAAGCCTTCGAGGCGTCATGAGTCTCCGCAGGATTTCCGTGCTGGTTTCTTAGAGGCAGGGGGTGTTTCCCAACAACCGAGCCCTTCAAATGGCGGGCTTCTTTTGGTCTCCCTTGCAGAGGGGAGGGCCCAGGCTACACTTCTATTGGCCCACTGACTTCCACTCGAGGCTTTTGCCATGGCCGATGACGACGAGGATGACGAGGAGCTGAATATGAGACCTTTCCGTCCATGGACGCCCCAAACGGTGTCGGGCTTGCCCGAAGCATATCAGAGCCCCAGATTCTCATGGTTGGTTTGTGCGCGAGTGACCGTGACACTTCCACGCCACCCAGCGTCAGATATTTATTCTGCCAGGAGCAGAGGAAGAAGGAGCTCCAAAAAAAGCAGAAGTCGAGGCGGATCTGAGAGCGGAGGGGCTACCTGCAAGCAGTAGGCAGACTGAGTCTCGGGTTTTCGGATCCGAGCCAGGGCGCCTTTGGCATGGCGCTCAGAGGGCCTGGGGACTGGCTGCCCTCAGACTTCCTCTCCAACTTGCCAGCGAAACCCCCGGAGATTTTCGGACCTCAAGGCATTCCTTTTTAGACCGCCATTCCTGGGTCTGGGGAGGCGGTTTGGCGCGTTTGGCGCGCGAAGCTCGGGAAGGTGGCACGGAGCCGGTTTTTGGTTGAGGCCATTGGTATGACTCCGGGAAGGGGGGTGGGGAGCGGGTCCAACCTGCCTCTGAGCTCAGGAAGTGATCAACCAATGTTGTTTCTTTTTTGACAGAGCCCGGGAAGCAAGTTCAAAGGCACATTTGTAGATGCCCCCCAAGTTTCAGAACGTATCAATGCATACGCATGCGACAAGAATGAGCACACACAACACGTTTTGGTGTATATGTATACATATATATATATATATTTATACATACATACGCATACATACATCTTTTTGTGGAGATAGGCCGCACCCCTCTACTTTTCCAGACATGGGTGTGTATGCGATGCATGCCATATGTGGGAGGAGGCGGCCTAAAATCGGCAGGACCAGGATGGCCATCTCCTCACGGGCCCACAGGTAGGTGGCGTTCCCCTTGGAGATGCCCGCAGAGACCACCTGATCATCCGGCTAGCAGGCAGGTATGGCAGCCATCTTTCTATCCCCCTCCCTTTGAGCCGGCAGACTCCAGACTCCGAGGCCGCAGCCCCTGCAAGCAGTCCGCACCCTACGGGCTGCGAAGTCAGGTGCACGGTTCCCCTTCGTCCGCATCCCATGTGGCTTGGTGTCTTGGGGAAATGCGAAGCCACCCTACTCCACGCTGCCTCTAAGGCCGCGCATTGTCGCTTTGATCGGCGATTTGAACCCGCGACTCTAAGAAAAAGGGGGAAAACGGGAAGATTGCAAGCTGAACTTCCTGTTCACCGCTGATGCTCTCACGATCCACAAGCACCGGTCTAAGGGTTCATGGGCAAGCGGTATCTTGGAATTCGCTTGCAAGTGGTACTCCATCTTTTTAAGTTCCCATACTTTTCCTTTGGTTGCTTGCAAGTAAAAGTTGGCAATCTCCCAAGTATAGAACTTTGATTTGCTTGTGGCTCCAATCCTCCAAGGCGTTGTGGTGCCAGCTGCCACGGCCAGCCGCCCTAAGGCTCGGGCTTTGACGCAAATGGCCGGAAGAAAGCTCTGTGTGTGTGTGTGTGAGGCGTGTACGGGGTGGATTGCGTTGGGACCCGCAGTGCTTTTTCCGGTTTCAAGACGTGTGTGGCGCATTTTGCAAAAAAAAAGTCCGCTCTCATGCTCAGCTTCGAAGTTCCCCGCGGAGAAAGGTTTCCCCCGTGGAAGCTGAAACACAACCCACGGGAAACACCCGCAACAAACCTTAAGCAGCCTGCAGGAAACCGTGGGAACCCCCCCCCCCCCCCCTCAGCATGGAGCAGGGTCGATGGTTGCGGAGCTCCGGGCCCCAGGCGGAGAAAGATGGGCAGGCGGGGGGAGCGGGAGACACGGCCGGGCTGGGAACTCGGGATCTCCGCCGTTTTGGGGGCACCCATGTTTTTCATCACCCAGGTTGGTCAATCCAGGGATGTTGGCCAATTCCTGGGCTCGGCCCAGGGATGGTCGAGCAGACCACTGCACCGGTTTGGACCATGGCGTGAATCACGGGAACTGTTCAAAAGGCCCAGTGATCTTCCAAGGAAATTTGCAGCCCGCCCTGCCATATGCAGACAGAAGCTCGCACTGTCGGAGTCGTTGGCATCGGCCCGCCAGGATCCCATCAGCCTCCGGGCCTCTTTGGCGGATCCGTCGGCGCGGGTGCAGGGTTGCGGGGTGGTGGGGTTGGGCTGCGCCAGCTCGCGGACGATGTTGGAAGGGAATCGGAGAGTTTCGGCGGTGGCCCTAAGGGCCCCCAGGACAGCGCCGGTGTGATGTTCATCGCTTCAAGCTTCAAGTCCGAATTGATGACCTTGGCTCCTATGCGGGTTGACATGGGTGTGTCACGGATTTTCAGGGAGCTAACTGGAAACCCACCATGTTGGGGTGTCCCCTTCAAACAGACACCCCCAAACATGAATTGAACTGGCAGCGCGTGGCTTCCTTAGGGCTTCCCTTGAACACTTCGCCAGGGAGCACCTCCGGTGCCACCGGAGACCAGGTTTCAGCAGACATGAGCCCTGACGTTCAATTCCTAAATGATGGCTTGGGTTGGAGGGGATTGAACGCCTGGCTTTTGTAGGACTTGAGAAAACCAACAAATCACTATGGGGAAATTTCCTCTTCCATGAGGCTCATGGCAGAGGGTGCCCCTAGCCTCCAAACCACCAATCCAAACGAATCCGGGGCGTGGTTTTTCAGCACTTACCCCATTCATGAGTGGTACTCGAGGCTTTGTAGGGAGCTTTTTCAAGGGCAACCCACCGGCCAGGGCCCGCGAGTGCACTCGCCGGGCGAAGTGGCCGGGTGGCTTGGGATGGCCAGCTGCCATGCCACTGCTGTGGGTGGGGTGTCTTTTGTAGGGGACGCCCCCCAAAACTGGCGCCTTCCCGGTGGTTTTCCATTAAGAAAAAGCCAAGCAAGGGGCATTTTCATTGGACTCACTCACGTGACACGGTGTGAAGTGGTAGCTTCGCAGCTAGATGCGCCTTGGTCAGAACAACTACTGGCACTGGTTTGTATATCGCCACTCAAGTTTCGTCTCTTCCCTTTTGCCCAGCTGGCAACTTTGGCTGCTGGGGTCCTTCACTTTGTTGGTTCTTCCCTTTTGCTTGTGAGAAAGTAGTGGCTCGGAATCAGCAAGACGTCGGAAGAGCGGGCGCGATGCCTCAGGCGGAGCACTTCCGTCGTCTGTCCGAGATGAAGAGAAGGCGTGACTCACTGCGCTTGTGGCAGCGAGCGTGCCGAAAGCTTACCCGAAAGCTGGCCCGGTTTGATTTTCTTTTGTTGCCATGGTTTGGCAACCAAGACAGAGGGGTCAAGACGCAGACAGTGCTTTGGCCCCTCTCCCACCAAGTGCAGTTCGGCAAACGAGGGTAACGCTCCCAGGGACTGAAGAGAAACGAAGCCAACCGGAAGCCATTGAACGCCCCAT